CCATGTAAGCCACCACTTCAGATTCCTCCTCTGAGCTGTAGTCACTCCAGTTAGCTGTCATTGCTTTTTCTTTCTTTTTGTTGGTAGGACAGTTTGCTCTGACATGACCTGTTTTGCCACATTTAAAGCAAATAGTAGAGTCAGTTTTGTCATTTGAGTTCTTGTTATCTTTTGGACTGGAGTCTGATCTGTTAGATCCAAATGAATTTTTGTCACTGGATCCTCCAGAGAAGTGTCCAGAAGTTCTAGGGGAAAGGTTATACATATTCCCAGAGGGTCTGGGAGAGGAACCATGATTATAATTTCCCCTTTTCAAGTTTTGATCATGTTTGTACTTCATCATTCTTTGAAGCTTTCTGCTAGTTAGGGCTAGTTCATTTTCAAACTCTTCATCAAGTCTTTCTTCACTGTCTGAAATTAAGGTGTTGAAAGCAATGGATTTGTTTTTCTTGTCATGGAGAGAGTTCATTTGCTTAAGAACTTCCTCATGACTGAGCAGTGATCCAATCAGGCTTTCAAGAGATAGGACATTAAGGTCCTTGGCCTCCTCGATGGCAGTTCTCTTTGCCATCCATTCAAGAGGAAGTGATCTAAGAATTTTTCTAACTAGCTCTTTACTTGTAAAATCTTTTCCTAATCCTTTAAGTCTATTGATTAGGGTTGAGAACCTTTTATCCATTTCTGATATGGATTCACCAGGAAGCATGTCGAAGGTTTCATATTCTTTTAATAGCATATCAATCCTAGTTTCTTTTACTTCTGAGGTACCTTCATGAGTTGTTTCTAGGATTGACCATATCTCCTTAGCGGTTTCACATTTGTTAACCCTTTCCCCTTCATCCTCAGAAATAGCAGACAACAGTATATGCATAGCCCTAGAGTCTAGTTGAGCATTTTTCTTTTGTTCATCAGACCAATCCTCCTCATCGTCTTCCTTCATGTCAATTGGTCCATTTCGGACAATTGCCCACAAATCACAGTCAATTCCTCGGAGGAAAAGGCGCATTCTCTTTTTCCACACAGAGTAATTAGACCCAGAAAACCAGGGAGGAGAGGAACTAGTTGGGAATGAATTAGAAGCCATAGCGAAGTAGAGAGGATCTCCTTCTTGGCAACACTAGGCTCTATCAAGAAGGAGGCTCTGATACCAATTGTTAGGTTGCTATGGGACCTAATTAATCCGAACTTCACACAGTGACAGTACTTTGATTCTTATTCAAATATCGCAATAAGAACAGGTTTTGACAAACTGTCGTTTTCTCTTGAAGTAAACAAATCTACTCTAATGAGAAGCAATTGAAACAAACTGAAACTAGAAACGGGAAGAGAAACACACTGAGTCCTCCAAAGGAGCCATGCCCAGACAGACTTGAGTTCCTGGCAGGAGCCCCAACTCAAGTTCGTCCAGACACGAAAACTGAACCCTAACCAGAGACTCCCAGAGAACCTAACCTGTTCTCACTGAGTACTGGAAACCGTCATCTTGCTCTTCGACTGGTGAGGTCTTTATATAGTTGATTGCATCATTGTTTCTCTGTCTTCTTCAATTCTTGTTACCGTTTGTAATTAAGGAGCTGGATGCTTGATTTCAATATGCAGCTGCGCTTCTGTGTTTGATTTTGATGGATGAAGAAGAATTGAGGCGAAGATCGCGATGCTTGAGGGTTTTGATCGGGATGTGAAACGCTGCGCTTGACTTGGGCCACGATGGTTCATTGGGCTTGGAATTGTCGGGTCTCCACAAGTCTAGGCCCAACACCTCCCACTCTCCATTGTTAAGGTCAACATAAACCTTGACAAGAACGTACACGTTTGTTGTCTTATCATTACTTGAACAGGGTACGTATATAAATCCAAACATATACACGACCTATATGAATATGAACACCCGTTATATATACACACTGTCCTCTCCAAGTTTGACAAATAGCATAATCGACATCCCAAAATCGCCTACCAAAACAAAACAATTAAGTCGTAACAAATTGAATAACTAAAAGGGAACCAGCATGATTTAATTAGTTATATCCTTAGTTGCCTATTAGTCTTTATGCTTAATCAGTTAATTGCTTACCCTCCCTCCGTCCCGATCCGGCAACGCCGCCGCCGTCGTCTTTCAATAATTTAAGAGAAAACAACCAAATGAATCATTCAAGCGAATCATTTACATACGTACGCCATATAAATTAGTATGGTTATATCAACATATCCTTCTTTGCAAGCAATGATAATGGGCGGTTTTAATTACTTAAAAAGGTGGCCACTTGGATGGAGTTATATTATGTATAGCAAGAACCCTACCTACAAATACGATGTCCATTATTCACCTTTTACTAGAAGGATTAGACGTGCAATTGTGGGGGCTAATTTTGATTTTATATAATAGTCACATTTTGTGGCGATGAAATGCAACTCGAGAGGGGAATTAATTAAAAGTCGGGATCATTCATGATTTGAAGTACTGCGATACTTTAATTACTCAACAAAGTAGGAACATAGAGATCGGAAGAATGTAAAGGGAAATGAAGGGTTTAAGGATAGGAACAAGGGATGTTGTGAGTTTGGCTTGCAAACATGTGACGATTATTATTTACTAGGTACAAAATTAATGTTAACAATCAATGAGGGGGGGGGGGGGTTTCTAATCTTTGTCCACTTAAGTTTGTAGAAAATTGGGAATTGGGCGGGTTCTGACACGCCTATCTTTCGAGATTGTTATCTTTAGATCCACTTAAGCTTGGATCTAAAGATAGTGTTCCTCAGGTGGTGTGACAGGAGATAAAGTGAGAGTGTGTGTTGACTTTTCTACAGAACGGTGAATGTGCATCTTTGATACATTAGTACGAGAACAAAAGAAAGCAACCTATGTTGCTGTGATTAACATTGTCTATCGAGATTTTTTGTCGAAGAATGTTATTGACAGTAACTGACGAACATTCTACTAAAATATGAGAAGAATTCCCAATTAAGAAAATTCTCATTCATACGAAACATGTCTACATATTGGGATAGTAGGAGCGAAGACATCATAAAAAGGTATCTAGGCTTACCGGCCATGATTAAAGAAAAGCAATCTATAACTTGGTAAAGAAGAAGGTGCGACATAAACTTAAAAACGAATACAATGAAGTGCGTAGCGATAATATATATGGCCAAAACACATTGCCCTTATGAATTATGATAATAATTAGAATAATTTGTGTGCCCTTATTGTTGTTGGATGTTAAATAAGTCAACTTGGAGCTTCGTTTTTATAAAAGAATAGATAAAGAACAAGGCAGTTAATTAACCTAATTGTGCGCTTAGGTAAAACTGTTTTAGTGTTTTTTAATCAGTTGGGAGTATTGGGACTGTGAAGGTAGGTGCATGTAAAGCCGTTGATTTGGCTGGAGCAAGCCAATCATAATTAAAGCGTAAATATAAGGACGAGACTTTCAGGAGCGATTAAAACGAATTACATAGAAAATTAATTACTTTGCCTGAGTGGGATTCAACGAACGTAACCGGCCAACCATATTTCCAAGATCACAAAACGACTAAAAATGCCGAAAGTTCTCCATCCAATAAATGAGATTAGAAATTAGTAAGCCGATCCAGCTTAGTTAATTAACTAATCACAATTGATTCACATGATGAATTACTACTATATCCTTGCTGCAAAGATCATGAATTCATGAACCTTGATGCGGAGACAGAGGCCGAAACCAAGAGCCTAAAGGGCAGATAGGGATATGTTTCAAGGCTTTACAGTAACAGTTTGATTTTCAATTACGGTTGGGAAACAACATTTTCATACTCGATCCTTTGGCTTTGTCTGGGTTTGAGAGGGGGGCAACAACCAAGTTTTGGAAAACTTAGTTGACAGGTTGGAATGACGGTTAATTCGTCGAGAGGTATTGATGATCTAGATTTGGAAGACAAAATAATCCTACAACTGGACGTTGAAGAAGGCGGAAGTAAAACTAATTTAAATGTTACTTATCCGTGTTTACAGAATGAAGAAGAGCTTCTTATATACGAATGAACTTCAAATGAGTATACAATTGTGTGGCACAGGAAAAAAAGAAGTTAAAACTCTCTACCAAGCCCATCAAAGAAATGGCAATGCGGACGATTAATTAAATTTGAAAACTAAAAAAATATCCTTTCGATCTAATCATCATCACTTAACAAAATCAAACTACACCACCCAAAAAACGAAAAGTTACTACGAAAAATGAGAAATGGCTCCTTTAACAATCTGTTCCTACCCCGAATGAATTGTGTTAACAGGATAGAATACAAGTGGATTGTTCCTCAGATTCTATATCCACATTGCTAATCCGAAGAGAGGTTCAACAGCAGGAATTATTTTGTAATTAAATCAAGCAAATGACCCCTTAAATCTTTCTCCAACACACCCAAGAACAGCCAAAGATACACGCGCCGAGCAGCGAGTGAGAAAAAGATCACTTCCACTGTTTTTTTTTATTGGCTGCTTTCCGATTAAAAAAAAAATCGTACACTTCCGCTGGCAGCCTTCACCAGATAGCGAGCCGAACCGAACAATGCTAAACCCACACGCTTGCCTTTGCCACCATTATTACTACTTAAACAAAACAAAAAAAAGGGACGATTTTCTCTCATCGCCGACCCTCACGTGTCGAGCGCGTGACTGCCGAACTTTCGGCGAACTCCCTGTCTGGGAATCAATGGGGCGGCGCCAAATAGACGGTGCAAAATAACAAAAGAAACCCCTGAAAGGCTGAAACGACGGCGGATAATCACGTACTGAAACTGAAAGCTTAAATAACCTCATAATTAAATCATATACACCAAAAGGTAACAAACCTAATAAACAGAGAGAGACGGAAAGGGAGGGCACTAAGGTTAATAAAAAGGTAAAAGCGGACAGTAAAAAAAAGCCTAAACAACAGTTGGATCATAAAGCCTCTCTCAGTAAAAAAAAAAAAAAAAAACGTTACATTAATTAGTTACCCCGACCCACCGAGCTAATTTTTTTACAACCACATCGGCGGAGGCTCGTTCAAATCAATAGGCAGCCCGCGCCTCACGATTCCCAAAAACGGCGGCGGAGCGGCAGCGACGCCGCCAGAGGGAGCTGCGGATGCGACGGTGACGGGATTTTCGGCGGTGATCTCTTTCAGGACGCCGGTCTGGAGGAACTCGCCGAGGGAGAAACGCGGGCCGCCGACGGCGGCGGCCGTCCAGCGGTGGTGGTGGAGGAAATGGCGGTGGGGGTTGTCGCCGGAGGTGGGGGAGTTGAGATCCAGCGACAAGCCGGTGGAAGGGAGGGCGGCGGCGGCGATTGGGGAGGAGCAGGCGGCCGGGGATGGAGGGAAGTTGGTCTTGGCCTTGTTTCCGCGGAGGGAGCGGGCGGCGCCGTCGTAGGCGAGGGCGGCTTCCTCCGGGGTGTCGAATGTTCCGAGCCAGACGCGGGTTTTCTTCCAGGGGTCGCGGATTTCGGCGGCGTAGCGGCCCCACGGCCGCTTCCTGACTCCTCGGTAGTGGCCTTCCGATGATCTGGCGGTGGAGGAAGCCATTGGAGGAAGCGGTGAGAAAAAAACAGAGGAAGGGAGCGAGGAAGAAAAGAGGGTATAAAAGAAGAAGAAGGGAGGGATGGGTCCCACACTGAGACACCCGTAATCGTCGGCTGGACGGCACGACCGGGGACTTGGGTTTGGGTTTGCTGCTTTGCCTTTTTTATATACAGATTCGAATGAGAGAGAGAGAGAGAGAGAGAGAGAGAGAGAGAGACTCCATTGGTTTAGCTAAGTAGACAATGTGTTTTAAATCGTATACAATTTGTGACACATCCAGACCGTCCTTGGCCTATAGCTAATCGAGGTCGTCGTCCGGTTCGATTCGGTCATGAATTCGATGGCAATCAAATCGATCCGTCTCTAATTTGACTCGGCTTGGTTCAAGTTGAGTTGATTATTTCGGCTAAAGGCCCAACTAGTGGGAAATCAGTCGGATCCATTGGCACAAACTACATATCAGATCGAATAAATCGTATACAATTTGTGACACATCCAGACCGTATGGTACTGTATCATCTATTTAATTCGTACGGTTTGGTCACACTGGGTTCGACCGGTAATAGTTTTCGAGAAAGGGAGAAATAGCAGCCGCCTGATTAGACAAGAGATAGCGGGCTGGGAAGGTGTTGCGCTGGTCATGTGACCAGACCAGTGTTCTCCTCTCTCAGCTCCGCTCCCTTTGTGATGATGATGACGATGATGATGGCGTCAGCCCTATCTCCTCACCCCTGTCGTACGGCTGCGCTGCCCCAGCGGCGCCTGCCTCTTTTGTTTTCTTGCGCCACAATAAAAAAACAAATAGATAAACAACTATATATTGGGCAATGGGCAGTGAAAAAAAAAAAAAAAGGGAAGTAAGAAAGATAGTGTGGGAAAATGGAGAAAATGGGCAGAGTTGCTATAAGTACCCGAAATTGTTCGTCCACGTCAGGCAGGAACTAGCTTTTACTCCCTCCATTATGACACTGTCGCTACCAATATTCATAATTGCTTGCTCTTGATTAGAGAAGATTTTTAATTAACCAAAACCCATTAGAGTCTTTTCGAAGATTATAAGTACATTGTGCTGAAAACCGTACGAGACTAATACAATCATAACGAATCGACGAAGATTCGTATTCAAGTGACGAATTGTAGGAATGTATTTATCAGACATCATCGTCGTTGTCGTCCTCGCTTTAAGTTTGATCGAAGCAAAAAGTAATCTAACTTAGCTGAGTTTCACAGTAACAACTTTGTATGTACATGGATGGATCCAGTTAAGGGGTTGCGTCATACGTGTCAGGCCGGGAGTGGAGGGAGAGAGTGTCCCCACGTGGAGGGTACATAGGGCTCTGGTGTCTCAGTTGCAGGAGACAGGACCGATTCCGCAAGCAAACCCAAACCCAGGCCCAGGCCCAGCCCACCACCACCAAGATAATAATAATAAAAAACCCAATTTTACTATTATTAACTCAGAAAAGATAGAGATGGCGTGTTTGACTCAGTTTTTGGGCCTAGCAAAAAACAATTTCTGAATTTCTTTTCCAGTTTTCCCCTGCGCAGTAAAAATACGAAGAGAGAGAGAGAGTGAAGGTTAAAAAAATGAAAACGGAGGAAATGATTCGGTGGAGGTGATGACTGAAGACTCGCTGCCAAACTGACTGACCGCTCCCCCCGGCCACCGCACTTCACGTGATGTCTTGTTTTTTTTTTTTTTCCACCGCTGCCTATTTTCGATAAAATCGAATTTCCCTGTGCAAGAAAGAGAGAGCGTGCTGTAATTATTACGTCAGTAACACGTGTGGGCCGTCTGCCGGCAGTACAATCTACAGACAGATTTCCTTCGTTTTGACAAATCATGTTCGAGACCAGTAATTTTGAAATTTTCTAACTCCTCGTTAATCCACGATCCATAATCTGGCGACAGTTGGGTGATGACTCAAGTCCAGTACTCAGTAGTCAGTAGTCTGGGCCACCATTATGGGCCTGTAACAGAAATCCATTAGGGCCCAACACGAAAAATAGGACCATTATGTGGCTTCTTCTACATTGCTGTGATGATACATTTCTTCAGGCAAAAACTACAAAATTTTGAAAAATCTAGTGTGCATACAAAACTGAAATAAAATTATACTTTGTGACTTTCTGAGTTGTAAGTTCTACAGTCCAACTGGGGAATACTGTGACACCACCTAGAGGTTATTGTTTATACAAATCAAGACTGCCCCATGAACCCCATAAGAAAAAAAAGGAACCAAAGTATTCTAATCTATATTGCAAACAGGTACCCTTTTCCTTCTCCTTTCTAACACACTGCAATGTCACATTGCCTTGTAGATTGAGAAAAGAATTTAATATACAGTTGCTGCCGACGAGGTGGATCTACTCATTCGGTTATCAGCCATTGCGAGTTGCAGACTCATCACTCGCTTTCCGAATTCAACCTGTAGGCATTTTGGGGGGAGCCCTCGTGAAGGAAGTACGAGTCGAAAAAGTACGACATGGGTCGAGCTGCGGGTTAATCACGATAGCAAGCTAGGTCCGTTCTCAGCAGCTGTTCGGGAGGAGTGGTGGTTCTGATTATTGTAATGCCTTGTCAGTTGAATGTCATGGGAGAGGTGGGTTCTTGCTTTGGCATATGGAGCACCTCTTGCTGCAGACGAAACAGAAAGGGACCAAGTTCAAAATGGAAATTTCTGAGTTGTATGTCTGATTCTGTCATCGGAGTATGAGACATGTACCTGCGATCTGCTGAGCTCGGAGAATGTTCTGCCGTCTTTTCCACCAGCAAGTTGCGCAGACGACCACAAGAAGGCATGCCACGGATGCAGCAAATGCTATGCCGATTTTGGCACCAGCAGTAAGGCGAGGTCCGCATGTTCGCAGTCCAGGTATACCACAAAGGCCAGCATTATCAGTGAAACTGCAAACACGAGGTCCGCATGTTAAACGTGAGTGCAATCATGAACCACTTTCATGTGAGGTATAATTATCTTCTATAGAAATTGTTTTTCTCATTTAATCGTGGGACTCAAATTATTTATAATTCTATAAACCATCCAGTGCCCATTATCAACAATAACTTTTGATCTCCTTATGCTCAATATGATATCATGGCCTTCCCATTAATAGCCTAGATCCAGAAAAATCATTACACTACTTTCACATTTTCATAACATTTCATATCAGTATTATAAAAAAAAAAAAAAACATTTCATATCAGTGCTACTAAGTACATACTTGAAGGTAGCTCCGTGCAAAAGCATTCCTCCAAGTTCAGCAGGGACTCTTCCTGATAGATGGTTGCCATTGAGATTCCTTCAGCAAAACAACAGCTGGATGTGAGTTGTCATGTCTTCAAGGCATAAAATACAAGAGGGGAGACATTTGATAAGAAATCTTACAGTCTGCGCAATGATGTCAACTGCCCAACACTTGCAGGAATTGACCCGTTAAAGGAATTGTAAGATAGGTCTCTGCCATATCAACTATAAGCAGTCAGTTCCAACCAATAGAGTTATCTAATTTGTGAAGATAGAAAGAAGGAACAAGAAAAAAAATAACTTACAATGCTTCCAACTTGGTTAGTTTTCCTATTGACGATGGAATAGCCCCGTGGATGCTGTTACCACTCAAGTTTCTACAGTTTGAAAAGTCAACGAAAAAATGATTTAGAGATCATGGGTTAATTTTCTAAAATGAAGTAGAAACGATTCAAGAAAGTATTGCACTCACATGCTCTGTAAGCTTTGCAATTTGATTATGTCATTTGGCAACGACCCCCTCAAACCTTGATTGTCAAGTCCACTAAACATGGACATAATCATATAAAATATGGTCAAATAGTTGAAAGGTCAACCCTCTTAACATTAGCCAATGAATATGATATACCGGATTTTTATAGGATATACACTTACAGCCCATCAATGAACCATCTGAAATTAGTCCTGTCAAATTGGCAGTCTGCTCCATTCCAAGGATGTTGCTGAGGAACACATGGATCACCATTCCACCCGAATCGAGGAGGAAGTGCCAATGCCGTCTTCAACTTTTGTAGAGCAGCCACTAAAAAACACAGAGAAGAAGTTAAGCATTCTGCATTAGGAAAACAAAGCAAAATTAAGTTTTATAATGGTTTCCAAAACATACCTTCCTGGGAAAGAGTTTTGGTCTCAGCTATAACAACTTCAAAGATCTCAATGGCACTGATAATAGCGTACTGCCCTTCTTTAGGATGCAGAGTTATAGTCAAGGTCCTCCCATTAACAAGAACCGTCGTGTTAAGAACTAGCGCAGTATATCGACCTCCACTCATTTTAATAATATCAACGTCCTGGAACTGCACATCGCTATTAACCAATATATCAAACACCCTCTTCCCCACATCAGTCACGGTAGCATCAATCTCGGCGAAATGCAGCCAAATCGAGTAGTTTCTATTCGGCTCCACATCCATAGTGTAAGCCAAATCCGGCTGAGCATCTGTGCTCACGATAGCAGTCTGGTAGAGAGCTTCTGGATAAAAGTTGGGCGCATTTGTAGCATGCTTGATCCCAGCTTCTGTAGACCTAGGTTGATCAGAGCTTGAACCCAAAGACGTAATTGGACCCCAAAACCTATCCCCACCCCAGTGATCTCCACTGTAATCCACATCAAATTTGGGCTTCCCATTACCACAGCTCAACCTGGTGGCAGTTCTAAGTATAGTCCCTTGCCCCCATGCCGGGCCATAACGGTAAGCTTGATTATCAATCTGGAGAATCTCGATCGAGGTGATTGCCGGATCGCCATGACCAGTGCTGTGAAAGCAAATGGATGCCGTGTGATCGAGGAGAAACACTTGCGCTTCCACGAATGACTGATCATCGTTGGTACTCCACCCCGCCTGCAGCGAGTAAACCTGCGTGCCTTGCACCGAGATGTCGAACAAGGGCTCAGTGTTGAAGTCGGGTTCCTCGATCAAGCCAAAGAAGACCCGAACTGTGTAGTGGCCTTTCGGGACCCGCCTGATGTTGTAGCAGTTGTTGGGGCCGCCAGAGGATAGAGGGAAGTAGCGGAGTGTGGGGAGTCGAGGAGTGAGGAAGCTTGGATATTTTGTAGCGTTGGCTGGGATTCCTCCTGTGTATGCAAAATCTTTGTTCCATCGGGTGTTGGTAGGTGCGGTGTTGACGTTGACTCGTGATCCGCAGCTTATTCGCATTACCCATGGCCCTGTGGAAGAAGGAGAAGAGTTTAGTGTGTGTGTGTTTTTTCCCCGTTGCTCAAAATGTCTGATCAGGACAATTTAAACATCAAGACAACTACTTTAGGATACCCTTTGGAACATAATAGCAAACCTTACCCTCCTTATCATTCATCTATCAAAATTTTCCATTTCAATGTGTTCGTAAAGATTAGCTTAGCTATCATTTCACTGAGCCAAAAATTTCCTTGTAAAGTCAAAACCAATTCAACTCAGTCACTCATTGTTTCCCTAAATTGCCATCACTTACGAACAGATCGAATATGGGTTGTTTCATCCATCTACATTGAACTCAAATCTCAAACCTACAACAGGATTCAACGTTGAAATAAGCTTATTTCATCCAACTTTTCACACTCCAGCAAGAAAACCTTACTTCTCCAATCACCCACCAACAGAAATCAAACGCAAGTCGCAATTGCAGCTCAACGAATGAAGATGCAAGAGAAGGAGCAGAAGAAGAAGCAGGACACAGCTCGTACGTAGGGCCGTAAAAAGGCACTGCAGCTAATTTCCAACTCTCCGGGGGGGAAATCCCTAATTGAGAATTCAGCTTTCAAGCTCCGATCAGAAGTACAAATTAAAAGGAAGGAGGAAAAATCACCTTGTCTGGCGAAGCAAGTAGAGATGGCTAAGCAGAAGAGCAGCAGAAGCCATGGAAGGAATCTCGGCATTCTCATCTTCAAATCTTGCTCAAAAAACTTTTTTAAGCCCCTGAAACGAAACTACAGCTTCCGCATCCTTTTTCCCCGCCTTCAAATTCTTCAGCGACACTTCTTCTTCTTCTTCCTCCACTTTCCCTCAAGAGAGAGAGATAGAGACAAAGGGGGAAAGTAGTAGTGATTAGAGAGTGAGGGAAATGCTGTCTCTGGTCTGGACTGGACGTGGTTGCAGCTAAAACTACTTTTTCTGAATCTTTTTTTTTAATTAATTAAATTTCATCTTTCCTTTTTTTTTTTATTTGTAAGTGCTGGTTGACTCGTGACAACGATTGGGGGCACATGCGGGATTTCAGTGCGTAAAATCTGTCATCCTACGGTGGAGATGATCCGAGTGCCTACGTCATGGTCACGTTAATGACTCATTTGCCCCGGAACTTTGGTGGTGCGGTGGGGAAATCGTGACGAGTGGTAGCGACATTCCGAGCAAATTGATTTTTTTTTTTTTTAGTTTTGTTTATTGGAAGGGATTTGTGCTATTTGGAGCAACGTACTTTTGCGCATCTTGGTAAGGGTTGGCAGAAATCGCATTCATATATAGCAATTTACCTACTCTTCTTCTTCTTCTTCTTCTTCTTCTTCTCAAGGTTCTCGACTTCTTGCTAGTTGTTATACTCTATTAAGGGGTGCTACTACTTGTGGAGTTTAGGTCATGATACACATAATCGACGGATCCCGTAAATTGTGAACACGTTTCCGCAGATGGTGTTATAAACACTGTAATCGAATTATTATTAATTTACTGTAATATATAATATAACGGAATGAGAATCAATCCAAACTATATCGATTTGATTTAATATGATACGAAATCCAATCAAACAATATAATTCGGTATCTTCTTTCCAATTCTTGTTTTCTCACTGGCGATGGTGGTAACCGGCAAGGTCAAGCCTATGGATTTATTTAGTGGGGTTGCGTTTGACTTGGGGAATCGTCAAAAGCCTTTATAAAAAAGGCACGGCAATTAATTGTGGCGCAATCGACGGGCTAGCGCAAAGCATGGACCTTGCTACAGCATAGAAGTGTGAGATGGATTGATGAAATTGGGCAATTTTGATCGAGATATAATAAGGTGGCTTAAGTTAACTTACTATTTTGACGTAATTTCTAATCAAATTATGCACAAGTTCCCAATTGCAACCAACGTATATGAGTCTTTGTGTGTGATTCCGTTTATCCTTTGATCGCACGCTTCTTTATTCTCGACGAAGATACGATAATGGGTTCATTACATTCTCATATGGAAACCCATCCTTGTCGATTAATGGGGTTTGGCAAGTTATTATAAGACTTGGGGGGCGAAATCACCCAATGCGTCTTCCTCGCAAAGTGATATGGTATGCAGTGGAGGAGCCACGTTGATGGTAGTGGGGGTTATAGTCTCTTCAATTATTACAATCATATAAAGTTACATGTAAAATTTGTAATAAATTTAAGAAATATAATAATCGGCAAGTCTTTAGCCTCTCCTAGCTGGTTCGAATTATTTGAGAGTGGATTTTTAGCATTATAAGATGAAAGGTTATTAAACTTCCGAAGATTATGATTTTAATTACATTCGCACCGTATATCTTATCTTATCGTATTCTATTATACCTGGCTAGCCGGGCCGGTCAGAATTGGGCCATACTTGGGAGTCGAGACTAGTCATTCAACTTCACGTTCGGCCCAGTCCAGACAGAAGATATCCATGTTCAGAGCCCAAACGGACAGCATTCAGTTCAGTTGGAAAAAAAAAACTGCCGATAATTAAACTGCAAAGGGGTCAAACATATAAAAAGGGTCCCGCTAGCAGCACCCAAATTCACAGAGATTACGAAACATCTCCTCCAAGGAGCACAAGCAAAACTGCAAAAGAACTTTCTTCTTCTCTAATCGTCACGCAATTCCCTCGCGTTTCTTTCTTTCCGTGGCGCTGATATTCTCCCCCAATTCCCCAAAACCTCGCACTCCACTGGACTGGTTGCTGACCGGAGATCAGCGTGTGATTTCCCGTACTTCTTTGATTCCCCTCCAATGGCGCCATCGACGTCAATTGCATCCGACCTACCCGATTCCGATTCTGATGACGGCGTCTCCCGCGCGGAAGAAGAAGAAGAGGAAGAGGAGGAAGTAGAAGAAGAAGTAGAGGAAGAAGCGGAGGAAGAGGCGAGTGGTGCTGAAGAATGCGGAAGCGATCCCGGAGAAGAAGAAGAGTATGAGGAGATAGAAGAGGAAGTAGAGGAGGAAGAAGCGGTAGAAGAGATAGAAGAGGAAGAAGAAGTCGGAGAAGAAGAGGAGGGGGAAGAAGAAGAAGAAGAAGAGGTAGAAGAAGTGGCAGAGGAGGAGGAAGAAGAAGATGTGGTAGAAGGAGTTTCGGAATGCGAAGAACAAGTTGCGGGAGGCGAAGATATAGAGGTTGCGGAAGGCGAAGATCAAGAGGTGGTAGAAGGAGTTGCAGAAGGCGAAGTGCAAGTTGTGCAAGGCGAAGAACAAGAGGAAGTAGATATGGATTTAGATTCCTCTGTGGAAGCCATTGATGAAGTGCAAGGTTAGTTATCAACTGAATGGGAACTGAAATGGTGATTGTATTCCAATCTGAATTGTAGGTTAATTACGCTGCTTCCAGTCGTCATCCGTTGCCTGATTGCCTGGGTTTTCTATTTCAATGTTTGCTTCTGAACTGCATTATTCGGGGAAGAGTTGTTTTGCTTCTCTTTGTTGCGAAGCCATAGATCTTGATCCAGGAAAGGGAAGTAACTGCAGGCTGCAAGAAACGGAAGGGGGGGATGATGGAATGGTAACATCTTGTGTTTTGTCATGAATTATGAACGTTACAAAATTCAGGGGAATTCACGAGCTCGGTGGTAAATGTTCCTATCGGTTTCAGCTGTTGATTTCCTACTTGTTCTGCTGAAAGTTACCCGATATAGTTGGTTGAGGCTAAGGAAAGCTGCAGGATATATCATTGCGGGTAGTCATCGTTGTTATGTGGTTGACATGTTGTGAATAGGCTTAGGAATGTGGAATGGATTTTCTATCTTCCCTGTGATCGCAGATTAGCCTATAACATGCATGCTTGTTTACTGATTCAACTATTAGTTCGTGCATAGTAAACGAAATGCATTGCACTCGAGGGTGACTGTTGAAAGAAGTTGATTCGTTAGCTACTCATGTGTGTGGCCGGACATTAGTTGATTTCTTAGTGCTAAGTCTTGGGCAATGGTTATCTTTTAGGAGATACCTTATTTCAGATATATTTTGAGTTAGATGTTGGCTCTATTTCTTTGCTTGATCTAGTTATTCTTTCATGTAGCTTTCAGTCAAGATATGAAGGCCAAAGAGATTGAATCACAACTGAAACCTCAGGGTTCTGCAAATGTGGCCCCATCTCCTTGCCATGTCGAAGATACTGCGAGTCATTTCACATTTTCTGGTTGTTCACATGCACCGCTGGCAATGCAAGGTGACAATTTGGGCATGAACAATGGGCATTCTAAGAATATCGAAGATGAAAAGGGTTCAAATGCTTCTGGTGATAGGAACGAGGTATGTAAGGATGAAGTCATGGAAACTAAGCCTTCTGAGGAATCAAGTATTAGAGGTTTGCCGAATTTTCTAGGGGCGAAGGATGATGTTGATGTGATTGCAGAACAAGTAAAGCATACCCCATTGCCGTCAGACAATGGGATCCAACAGCCAGTTTTGAGGTATGTTGATTCTAGCATTCTCTTATAGAATTAGATGTTATGATGTTTGCACCAGTATGCCTGATGCACCCTCAAAAAGCCTCCTATTTTTCTCAGTGTTACTGAGAGCTTCCCTTCTTACTAACAGTAACATCAGTCTTTCCAGATCCAGGAATCTAAGTGTATCACCATCTCCAGAGTTGAACAATGTGAACAAACGCCAAGCAATCATATGTGACTTCTTCGCCAAAGGGTGGTGCATAAAAGGGAGCTCATGTAGATTTCTTCATGTAAAGAACAAAACTAGTAGTTCTGGCGAAAAACAGGCCGAAGGAGATGCAGCTGTGGCAAGTTCCAGTGGAGACCGGATTAATGAAGGTATAATAGGACTTCCCTAATTGGTATTGCTGGTGAAGAGTAATCCTTTCTCATTGAATCTAATGTTCATCTTCTTCTGTAACAGGATCCACAAACATTAGGCCAAGGTTGCATGATCTCAAAGAACCAGCATATTGTTTAACCGGAAAAGATGCCATCACTTCGCGTTTTTCTTTCGATAGCCAAATGGCTGCCCAGATGGGAGGAAAACTGATATCCTCCTCATCTATCCTGTTAGAGGATATACCTGGCGGCATCACCCTCAATTCCCGTCAGTTCCCTGCATCAAAAGATGCTCCTGTGTTTTCTGCTGCCATTAAGGATGTTGGAGCAGGAAATCTGACAGGAGGCTGGCCTCCTAATGACCATCGAAGCCATGCATTCCCACTTAATGGAGGAAGTTCCTTTTTGCTTAATGATTCCTTGCTAAATAGATGCACTTCAAGTGGCTCAGCTGCGAAGTCAAGAACCTACCACAGCAAGAATTCAGGTTTCTTAGTGAACAATTTAGACAATTCGACACGTAAAAGGAGTGTCTGCATGGACGATGATTGTGTTGGCACTACTCCTCCCAGTAGTGGTAAGTCTCAAATCTCACTTTATGAAACCCCAGACTTCCTCTTATCTGGAAAGATGACTGTAAGAATTTTATGTGTGGGCACTGTTTTGCAGAACATAAACTAAAGGTTTCATGTGATGACTGGGAACCATCTGTGCCTTTCCAGCCATCTTTCATCATAATGCCTGTTGTGTCATCGCCAGGAAGGCAATATGATCCCTTACGTGATAGCAATGTAGTGCATAGTGGGGTAGACAAATCCTTCAAATTCTCTTTTATTAGCAACAGGATCTCTTCCCAGAAAGCTTCACGTCAACCAACAAATGGTGCTTCCTTCCCAAATGGCGACAAGAGTTCTGTACCTTTTGATAGCAGGTTCCATGGGAGTTCGTCAGCTAATAATGGCGGTCCACCTGAAAAAGACACCTTCAACAAAAGTGGAGGAGAAGTGATGGATATTGATGATGGTTTGGCTGATGATCATAGTGGCACTATGCCGAAAGAAGAAATTGCATCTGTTAGTAATCAGTTAGATGTTGATGAAAAGCCTGGAAGTGATGGGTCGAGATGCAGAAATAACTTTACGGCGGATAACTTGGATGATGGGGGAAAAATGGATCAGGAAGTGCAGAAAGAATCAAAATCCCCAAGACACTTCCGCGCTGCTCTTATTGATTATGTTAAAGAATTACTGAAACCAATATGGCGTGAAGGCCATCTAAGTAAGGATGCACACAACACTATAGTTAGAAAGTCAGTTGAGAAGGTTCTCAGTACCATGCAATCCCATCAAATGCCGACTACTTCGGAGTCAATTAAACATTATCTTCATTTTTCACGCACAAAGATTGCAAAACTTGTGGAGGTGAGCTTTCTGTTTTGGGGAAAGCCGGGTTCTAGGAGGAAAATTTATGCATTTTATGTGCATTTGCCTGTGCTTAGCATTTAATGTTATATGTTTCGTTTTGCAGGGATATTCTTCTAGGTATGGAAAATCTTGAGATGATGGTAGTCGGAGTGGGACTCTTCCGAATGTACAGTTCCCAGAGATCTAGTGTTGAAATACATTCCGTGACAATGAAATCTCAGTTTCCAGTTCTTGGGAAAGTGAAAATTGAAATTAACCGTGCTTTCAGTCCTATTTATTGCAGTGCACACTCATGTTGATACGAATCTAGTGAAATTTAAAAATCCAGGTTTGCTCAAAAGTGTTGCTTCTGTAAACAAATTAGTTTCTTCTTGAAATCCAGCTGAAGAGTGTGTTTATTGTTTGAGCATCCATCTTTGACCTCTACCCTTTTGCTTCTGCATAACTAGAGCTCGACAGAGTTTACGATTTACAATTTTGTTTTTGGGATGTACTGCAGATCATACAAATTGTTCCATTTTGTTCAAGGGAGGGAGTACTTTCAATCCGGGGGTCTTTGTTTTGAACCATTTTCAAATGTTGTGCAGTATCGCTTCTGGCTTTACCTAGGTTCAGAGGTCCATCGAAGTCTCCTCGAATCCTGTCTATAACTTCGGTTTGTGAGATGTTTCATTGCATTTCTGGTTTCGAACCTGTAAAGATTGTCTGCCATTATGAATCTGAAACTTAAAAGGAATGCTATGAACGGAGAAAGAAAGATGGAGACCAAATTTGTTTACATATTTATGGATTAACATGGGCATATCCCGCTATGTAATGGAATTGCATAAATTTGCTAGTATTCAGTTTGCTGGGGAATTTCAAAAGCTTCCTGAACAGTTTCGAACTCGCTTACTGGAAGTACAAGATTGCAGGTTAACTTTTCTTCGGTTACTTTTTTGTTTTTGTTTCGTTTTTGAACAGTTTGCATGTAGGTTTATTTCTTTGCCATACTTGTTTGAAGATGCGTATATAGTTTCAGATACTGAGTTTTTATACAGGATCTGCTTAATCTCTTTAAGCAATATCATTCCTGGCTTACTTGATAATAGAGTTCTTTACGTTTTAATCTCATCAAATGCCTGTCGTAGTTTGTTTGCTTGCTATGTGGAATCATTGTAGAATCTTCAGTATGCAATCAGTGTGCTAGTTCATGAATTTCCTTAGGAATTTAGTTTTGGCTGATAAGAGCTAGGCAGTGAAAATAATTTCCTTTCTCTGTGCATAGACCTATTTCTATTGCTCACTTCAAACATGAAGATTTGAAACAAATAGGAGAGGGAAACCAGTAGTGTCTATAGTTTTCACAGATGCAAATGTTACTGTCAAGCATGCTTCATCCCAAGCTAAATAGTAAAAGGCCAAGCTCAAAAGCTTGTTATACTTCTTTCTTATATGCTCATCGTACCTATAAAATATAATCCCTGTATGTATAGGGCTCTAAGTTAATACGAACATCCATGCTGAGTTGGAAGAAAAGAGTGCAGGAAAACTGTGTCCTCATCTTACTGCAACTTGGACGACGGAGTTCTGTGTGCGGCAATCCTGGCACGGGGAGAGGAAGGACCGGAACACACTCCGGCCCGATGACCTCTTCTTCTTGTTCTTCTCCCCCACTTTCCTTCCACTGGTATTGCTCTTATGAGCTGGCTGTTTCTTGTCGCTGCAAATCAGAACAATGTCGACGGCAGCAGGCTTCTGGGTCGCTGTCCCAGCTGAGATGGGCACAGGCACGTTGCTCGGATTACGGCCGCCACCAGCTGGCTCTCCCACGGTGCTGAACTCAAACTCTTCATCATGCTGCTTCTTCTTCTTCTTCTTCGTCGTCTTCTTCTTATTCATTTGACAATCTTGATTTCCAGGTTGCTGGTCTTGAACCGACAGCAGGCCAGCAAAGGATAGAGACTTCCTCGACTCCGAATCCGCCGCAACATCCAGAGCCACCTTGTTCCGCCTGAGTGGGGCCATTGGGTTTTCCTGTCACAAGACTGCATCTTCGAGCTTTTTCACGCACACATATATATAGGTGAAGACGGTGAAGCTTTCTGTTTCCGGGTGCGCGTGCTGTCTGTTGTTCTATAGACTGGCCAGCATTTCTTCCCGAATTGTTTAATGAAGAGCAAAACTCGGTCTTGTTGTCTGATTATGTGCATGACCGTCCCTTGTTTCTCGAGGAAGAAGACAAGACGACAGGCGTGGTTGGGATCATCAGCAATTCGAAGCTTTGGAGCAGAGCTTTTGCCTGCTGGTGGCTGTGACGATACCAGGGGATTACTCGTTCGTTCGGCGCATTTTGCTGGGCGGATTATGCTGTCAAAGGTACAACAATGATGTCCATTGGAATCTCCTTTATATTATATATATATATTTTACCCGAAGTCGTTATTGGTCAGTAGAATAATATTAGAATCTAGTCATCTACCTCGTAAAATGCGACGGTGAATATCCCTATGGCGCTGAGCCCGGCAATGCGGAAGAAGAAACAATTCCACGACCGGCGCTCGGTGGTCGCTCTTCATGTCCAGAAAATCAATGAACAGACTTGTTCAAACAAAATTGACGCTTCAAATATTTTACACTGGAAATTCAAGCTAAATTTAAGGTTGTATATAAGGTTGTGCTGTGGTGTTGCACAATGGGCGCGATGACAAATGTTGATTGTGACGTTTTTTATAGGGATATTGGGGGTGTTGCTTGGAACTAGCTGTGTGGTTACTTCGCCTTAACAGAGTGTGTACTTTGTGTTTGGTCTCAGCTGCAGGTTCTGAATGTTGGAAGCCATGTGATTCAAGAAGTGTGACAACAATAATCTTACGCTACGGCGTAACGTTAGTTCCGATGAGGAGGGTCAGGTACCTAGTTACCGCTGCCTGCCGGCCAACGCTGTCAGGACAGCGGGCGGAACACGAGTGGAAACATGATGGACGTCTCGAGAGAGATTCGAGATAGTACGCGAGTTCAGAATCAGGGAATGCAGGAGGTGTTTTTGCGAAGCTAGACAGACAACGAAATGTATTGATTTTGATTTGGAAGTGTGTTTGGATGATGAATTGGTTGTGGGCCGACTTTGGTGCTGTCTGCTATTTATGTTCCCTTTTATGGGCTTTTCCAGCGAGGCCCAACTCCCCTATAGCCGATGAACCCATCCAAATATGTCCACGGAATCAGCCTTGAGTATTCCATCAAATTTCATTTTTTGCGAAACGCCATGAACCCGTCGAGGGATCACCAAACGAACCAAAAATAAAACAAATCTAATGGCCATTGCATTGCATGCATGCAATTAATCGATCAAGAGAACCGAAGAAAGCACGTGTACGACACGATCGTGCCTACGATTCTAGCTCTTCGATAGATCCTCCCGCATACAATCACTACCATTCCCTCCAACACTTTAATGAATCGAGGTGGAGACCCCAGATTTGTCCAGAGAATAGGACAAAACGTACACACATAATTAGGCAAACACTCAACACCTGTCAAGCAAACCACCAAACCCTACTACGTAAAAAGAATAAAAGAAGATATTTTTTCCCGCGGGTCCCATCTCCTACTCAATCGCCTTCCCCCACATCCTTTCATCCTTATCCATCTTCGTTCCATTTCCCTCCTTCCCCATTTTTTTTTACCACACCGTAAATAGACAAACCTGTCTAGATATTTTACCTCCTCAACAGCCTCTATATATTTCACCCCAAAAGAACCCATTCCGCCACCACACTAAAAAAAAAGGGGGAAAGAAGAAGAACAAGAAGAAGAAGAAAGAAACGAAGCCATGGTTCTGCTGGATAACATGTGGGACGACGTCCTGGCCGGGCCTCAGCCCGATCGCGGCCTGGGCCGGCTCAGGAGGATCGGCACCAAGCCCCTCAACGTCGGTAAAAAGAATCAAACCCTACTTTCCTTGATCACACCTTATAAACTTGCTCTTTTAGGTTTGTAGGTTCATATATATTGTTGTTGTTGTGGTTGTGGTTGTGGTTGTGGTTAGAGGGGGAAGGGGTGAGCACCACCAAGTTCGGGCAGTCGCTGTCGATGCCGGCGAGCCCCTCGACGCCGGTGACTCCAGGGACGCCCGGCACGCCCGGATCCGTCCCCAAGGATAACGTGTGGAGGAGCGTTTTCAATCCCGGGAGCAACCCCGCCACCAGGTCCATCGGCGCTCATGAGTTCTACGACCGCCCGTCCCAGCCAAACTCTCCCACCGTCTATGACTGGTACGTCCAAAGATCACACATGACACATGTCAAGCTCAATATAGTCAAAATTGCGTTTTAAAATTAGATACCTTACGTATTTTTACATTTTTACCACTCAAATACTTCTACTTAAAAACACGCTGTTTCACCTTGCACTACTTACATTTTTACACCTTTAGATCACGAAAATGTTTCTATGCTGAATCACGATGTTTGGCCGCATTTCCAGCAAATCCGAATCTATATTGATGAAACTGTGTCGTTGTGGTGATGGTGGGCAGGCTTTACAGCGGGGACACGAGGAGCAAGCATCGCTAGATGATGGAGGAGGAATGTTGACGTGTCGTCGTCGTCGTGGCAAGATTACTATAATATATATATACAAATGATGAAACGTTATTAACTGAGAGAGCCTGTCCGTGTAGTATATAAATAAAGCCGTTTTGTGGGAGGTGGTGTTGCCGTTTTATTACCCGCCGTTTCTCGTCTCTGTATTCTTCCCCGTCGATCGGGGAAGAAAAGACTTTCGAGCTTTTTTTGATGGTTTTCTTTGATATGCTTTGTTCCATGACCAGCCACTATGTTGTACTATTACTACTAGCTACGACGTACTATTAAACTACTGCTCTAATGAAGCTTTTGCCGATTTCTGTCCTGTACGCTCTTTCCCAGTCGTATTTGTCAAAGTTCATCCAGTTTCAGACACTCGGGTACTTACGGTTCATCATAGTGACGGGAGTTAATTACAATTCATACACTAGATGGTGCTCATAATGATGGGTTGGGTTGAGTTAATTAATCATTAGCTAACTTAAGTGGGTAAAAGTTTTAATCAAGGTTGATGGGTGGAATATATTATTGGGTTTTGGGTCCTTGATTGTTTTTTTTTTCATCGTTAGATTCCTCTTGAAAAAAGGTTGAACACAAGTCACAGATACAAAGAATTTATCTACTACGTAACCAAGCAACAAAGTCAAACCTCAGTAATAACCAAAGCGATAAAACCAGAGCATGTCTTGCTACCGAGTGAGCTACTCTGTTATTCAATCTACTAACAAACTGCACCGAAGCATTGATAAGTCGGCCAATAAGCATATTAATTTCTTGAAGAAGGATCTCAATTCCTTGATTGTTTTTGTTCGCTTGGGCTTCACTATTGTGTGATAAGCCTATTCGTGGGCCTGGACATCGAACCGTTTAACCATATATGGCCTAAAGGAATAAGCCTGTAAAGGTTCCGTGGGCCTTTCAGGGGCGCCGAATAGCTCTCTCACAATCAACGTGTCGTCTTGCCATTGGCTGCCCGTTTACCCCCGACTTCGATCGAAATGAATTCGAGTCTTCTTCGCTTGGCAGCGGCAGCGCGAGAGTCCGCGGAAATGTTTCTCTTTCTGATTTTTTACACTGCGGGGGACGCGTGGTCTACTCCAAATTATCGATGCGGCGGCGGGCGGGCGGTTCCCGGCAGATCGGCGTCTCTGATCTAGGTCCTGCCTAATTTCTCCGGCGACCGTCGCGATTCCGTCGAGTGCACGCTGTCGAGGCTGTGCGGCGTCGTTCTCCGCTAACGTCGTTGCCTCGAAATTCGTCTTCAGTAGTTGGAAGTCATCCGCTTCCGGATATCATTGCCAACACGAGTTGCATTGAATAATTTGAATTCTTCCCTGTTGATCAGTCAGTCTCGTTTTCCGCTTCCCGTAGTCATGAACTTGCCGGCAACTGTGGATTCCGTGAGGACGTTGGCCGCCATGGTCAGAGTCTCTGGACCTGTAAGCTGTTGCTTCTTCCTTCCTCTTAGTGATAGCTTGCCGATGAAGAAGTACTGTAATTCCTTCAATTCATGCCATTGCCTTCTTGAATCTTCTTTAGGATCCTCATGGGCGGAAGATGAGAAATCAGGCTTTTCACCATTACAGGTGAGCTATTAATGCTTCAAGAAGTAGTTTCTGCTTGTTTGCAAATTCGGTTTCTCGCTTCTCTCCGTTTTCATTGAGTGTCATTCATTTCCTTGGAATATGTAGTTCTGGTATAACTACGCTTTCGGCTTCGGCTGTGCTGTTGCCGGAGGCCTTTTTTGATGCTGACGCGGCCAGCCGGATTCTGCCGGGCGCCGATAGGCGGGGCGGAGCTCTGCTCCTCACGGTCGCTTCTGTTATCGAGCCTTTTGTGGCGGCGCACCATAGGCAAAGTACTTCTCAGGTTGAAGTTACTGTGATTTGCAGAGATACGTGATTGTATTAGGTTCTGTGTTAGCAGAATTAGTTGTTTCTAACATCTTCTTTTGGTTGGTGCTCGGTATATTGAACAGGGCTTACCTGATCTGATTCCTGAAGCTAAAATCGATGTTATGTTAGAGGTGTGTGAGATTGAGCTGCTGCTTTAAGAGTTTTTTATATGAATTGGATAATGAGATTGATACATTGCTAGTAATCCTCAGGGTATGTTGGAGTTGGAAGAACGTGTCGATGCGGTTGAAGATGGAGATTCTCGTTGGATTTGTGCAGAGCTTTTGAGATTGGTAAGTACTTAATCTTGTAGGCCATTTTATTGGGAAGTAGATTGTTGCTGCTATAGTTGAATTGAGAGTTCTTTCTATCCGTTATGGGCGTATATTCGTACTTAAGTTTTGTTACATGAATGGGGATGCTCTACAGTTGCTGAATGGTTTATTATGAAGGTTGATGTTCCAGATTCTTCCATGGCCCTCCAATCGCTCATTCAAGCTTCTTCAGGCTCACCACACCATGGTTGGGAGACTGGTTGGTCCCTTGCATCTCAGGATAGCGGTCCTAAGCCCTATGGGAAGTCTCTCGATTCATCTATGCTTGAAAGTCATTGGGAAACCAAGGAATATAGGAGTCCTACCAATATGAGTAGGTCGATTACTAGACTTGCTGTTCTGGGGATCCCCCTGCCGAAGGTAAATAAGTCCCCTGGTGATGAAATATCTTTGGATACAAATTCAGTTTTTGTAGTACAACTTCAGGCAATTAATATCTGCTGTACACATTTTCTTCAGAATCTTCCTTGTGTCCCTGTAGCAGCATTGACTAAAAGGGGAGACTTCCTCTTAGCCATGGGTTCCCCCTTTGGTATCATGTCACCATTGCATTTCTTTAACAGGTCTGTTTTGCTTTCTTTGCTATCGTTTATTGTTACCATATTCAGTAGTGGGAGTTAAATTGACGTGGTAAGCTCCATATCCTATTGGGACCAAGCTTTGATATTTGAATTTGTCTCGCTGTCATGGCTGCTAGGGAAAATTGAGGACTAGAGTGTTGTTCTTGTTTAATTGTTTAATTTGGAATTTCTGTTGTTTCTACTTCTTTGGACTGTAATGGTCTGAGGGTCATAATTTGTGCTTAAACTTCACAAGTATAGCAATGATAGGCAGTTTGAAGCACCTAATTTCAAATGAGTAAAAGGGTGGCTGGCTGTTCTCCCCTCAAATGCACTGCTGCATGCTGTAGGACCTCTACTATCTTTTGCCAGATGGTTAAAAAGAAGAAGTATCTGTCACTTTTGTCACACTCTTATTTGGTCTGAGTTGTCTTGTGATACTTGACGCAGCATTTCAGTGGGATCCATTGCCAACCATTATCATCCACCTAGATCACCTAAGACATCATTGCTAATGGCTGACATCCGCTGTCTTCCTGGTGATTATCTCTAATGACTCTTTTACTGTTCATATCATACCCTGGTAATCAATCCTTACCCCAGTTTCAACTTAATTTTCTAGGTACTGAAGGTGGTCCAGCTTTTGATAAGTATGGACGTTTTATTGGAATCTTGATTAGTCCATTGAGGCAAACGAGTACTGGTGCAGAAATTCAGGTAACTTGATAAGATGTCATTTTTGTGCTACATTTCTTTGAATTCTGGTTTGTTACTGGATCCCACAATTCTAGCCTTGGGTAAACAGCTGGTGATTCCGTGGGAAGCCATTGCAAGTGCTTGCATTGACTTGCTGCTGAAGGAGCCTGAAAATGCAGCAGCAGATAAAGAGGTTCATATTAATAAGGGAAACTTGAATGCTGTAGGGGTAGTACACAATCATGACTCAGCTGTACCTTCACTGGTGCCTGTAGAGAAGGCGATGCCTTCTATTTGTCTCGTCACCATGGGCGAAGGTGTATGGGCATCAGGAGTGCTGCTTAATGAGCAAGGCTTGGTACTCACAAATGCACACTTGTTGGAGCCTTGGAGGTTTGGAAGAACTACCGTTAGTGGTGGTGGAAATGAGATCGGATCGGAGATTATTCCTTGTCATCTGTCTAGAGAAGATGTCTACCAGAAGAACAATAGGGGGTTTCTGAATACACAAGAAGCTTTAGTGGATCCTTCACGTGGATCGAATTTTTCCTTCAAAGAGCATCAAACTATACGTGTTCGCTTAGACCATGTTGATCCATGGATTTGGTGCTCTGCTAAAGTAGTATATATAAGTAGGGGCCCCTTGGATGTTGCGCTATTGCAGCTTGAAAATGTTCCAGCTCATATCAGCCCAATCAGTGTGGATCTTTCGTGCCCAGCTTTGGGATCGAAGGCATATGTGATTGGGCATGCTTTATTTGGCCCGAAATGTGGTACAGATCTTTGCTTCTCCTCATGTCTTGGTTAAAAGTTAGTCTTTCCTTCTCTTATACAATGCCTGAAACATTATTGGTCTAATTGGTATACTCCTCCATGGAGTGCATTTTCTGGGTTGCCACTACTCTTAATGGGATCTAGTCCAGCACTAATCTGCAAGTCTGCTTCTTGTGTTCTTTTCTATACTCGTGAATTTAATGTTTATGTTGCATGGACCAATTTCAAGAGTTATAGTTTTTCTTTTTCTACTATTTTGCAGGGTTTTCTCCCTCTGTTTGCTCCGGAGTTGTAGCAAAAATAGTGAGATCAAAGGCAACTTCTTACGATCGATCTCATGGAAAGGATTCACAGATTCCAGCAATGCTTGAAACCACAGCTGCTGTACACCCTGGTGGCAGCGGTGGTGCTGTCGTTAACTCAGAAGGCCAAATGATTGGACTTGTTACAAGGTACATAAATCACACTGGGGGGTTTTCTCAGCTTCTCATGATCATCGAGGTTTTGCACAGTGGGACTTCCCTTTGATAGTGATGTAAAATGGTGAAAAACTTGTTTCCAGATTTTTATAAGTCAGCACTCAGCTGTAGGAAATTCGGACTATTAAAGGATGACATTTATTCATAGTATACTTGCGAGAAACGTTTGCTTATACACAAGACAGTAGGAATATCTGAATGAATTAGCAACCAATCTCATCTAGAAGGAGAATGGTATTCTCTGCATGTCAGCAGTTTTAGTTCTCTATTAGTTTCTCTTCACTTCGGCTGAGTATTTTGGCTTTCTGATGTCATTTTTGGACACAGCAACACAAGGCATGGCAGAGGCACAGTTATACCACATCTCAACTTCAGCATTCCTTGTGCAGCCCTGGCTCCAATTTTCGAGTTCTCCAAAGGTTTGTCACCTCATGTCCTCATCTATCTCCCTCGATAGCATTGGTGTCGGATCAACATCGGAGATGGAAGGGAACACTCAGATCAACTCTCCTAACAAGCCGCTCACATCCTTCTTACTCCAGATATGCAGGACATTATGCTTCTGAAGCAGCTGGACCAACCGAACGACGACCTTTCTTCAGTATGGTCGTTGTTGCCCCCACTCTCCCCGAAGCCTAAACCAGAGCTGCCCCTGAACAATATTCAGGATTCACTAAAGAAGTCCGGGAAGGGCTCTAAGTTCGCTAAGTTCCTAGCGGAAAGCGACGAGGTTTTGAGAAGGCCAGTAGCTGCTACTCAGCTTGGTAAGGTGGGTAGCAGCAGCAGTACAAATGAGTCCATCCATCTTCCCAGCAAGCTATGAACATATACTGATAGCAATCTGAAACGAATCGACGTTTTCAATAACACGATGTTGTATTTCGTTGGCCCGATTAGATGAATGTATCGATTGGCAATGACATTGTCCATTGTACTGATGTATGACCAACCAAACAGTGGCACCATTTCTGTCTAAACGAAGGATAGACAGACGCATAGTTTACTAGTTACTAGTTAGGGACTCGTATGTAAATTGATTATAATAGAATATCAAAACGGGTATTGGAATTAAATTTAGGTGGCTTTTTATTGGAGGGAAGGCTATAGACTAAAGTATAGAGAAAAACTGGAAAAGCTATTAGGGAAGCCGAAAGGTTTAACGACTGAACGGAAAATCACAAACAAAGACCAGCTAAAGACTCAAAGCTTCCCACTCAAGACAGACCCACTTCTTCAGAAAACATTATCATTTTGTCTCATCTGCGTTTCTTCCCTTTTAATAATCAAAATCAAGCTCTTCATTTCTGTGATCGGATCGATTCATCCCCAAGAAATTTCAGTCGCAGAAGGTGAGTGGTGACTATGCCCACTACCTAATTGAGAGGGTTTAAGGGTTTACAGGAGACGAGTACACAAAGCAGAGCGGCGGTCAATTTTTGTTTGTCGGAAGGTTGGAATAATGGCGACGGAGCAGAGTAATTCCGCTTACAAGGAATACGTAGCTGGTTTGCTCGCCGGCGTCGCCACCGTAATGATCGGCCATCCCTTCGACACGGTCAAGGTACGCCAGTTTCTGGGAATTCCTCTGGGTTAATGTCAGAACTCTGTTTTGAGTGGCCTTTATTTGTCTGTCATTTTCACAAGCATTTGGCGGGCATTTGTATATAAACGTTTGATGAATGTTTTTCAATTTTCTATCTTTTGCGTAGTTCCAGTTGTTCTGTGGGTCTTTAGGTGGAGTTGATTGCTGGGTTTCCCTTGCTATCTGATGTTGGAAGTCTTTTCTTTCCGCTGTGGTTTATCTTTTATTAGGTGAAGCTGCAGAAGCACAACACTGAAACTCACGGGATAAAGTACAGGAATGGTTGGGATTGTTCGGCTAGGATATTACAGACGGAAGGAGTATGTATCTCTTCTTGCATTCTCTTGTGAGCCACAATGTTGATTCAATATGTTCTGTATATTTTACTTTTCAAGTTCTGACATTTGATTTAGTCTTATTCTCTTCTATGCTTGTGCTTTTTGATTGGAGTACCTTATCATACCCGTGCCTATAACTTCTGGATCAGAATCCTTCCTTTTGATTGCAAGATCCTTGATTAGTGATCTTTTCAACAGGTTAAAGGACTGTATAGAGGAGCGACTTCATCTTTTGTAGGGGTAGCAGTTGAAAGTTCACTTCTTTTCGGCATTTATTCACGGACAAAGCAGTCCCTGCAGGTCTGTATGAAATGCACATTGATCTTGAATGTTTATTTTATTCGGGCGAGATTATGATTGTGTCTTGATGCTTTGATTTGATTACTTGTGAAGAAAGGAGTGCAAACTGATAAACCTCAGCCTCAAGTAATAATCCCCTCTGCAGCTTACGGTGGATCAATTATCAGTTTCATATTATGTCCATCCGAGCTAGTCAAGGCAGGTTGCTTGTACCCACTTTTCTCTGTTGTTGAACTCGTTACCTGCTATTGCTCTGAGCTAGGACTGAAATCAAAATTCTCCAGTGTAGGATGCAAGTTCAAGGGGCAGACTCCTTGGTTCCAAAGCTCAGCAGATACAGTAGTCCTCTAGATTGTGCAATTCAAACAGTGAAAAAAGATGGAGTAAGTTAAAAATATATGCTCTGCATTGGCAACTTAGTTTGTAATGTTCAGCTGGCATGACGCAGAGAATCTGTTGTAGGTGACGGGTATATTTCGTGGGGGTCTGACTACATTGATGAGAGAAGCTGTTGGAAATGCTGTATTTTTCAGTGTCTATGAGTATGTCCGTTATTACATGCACAGACACCTGAAGGGCGATTCTTCCAATCGCAGCAATGTGATGGACATGGGGATTGGAATCGTAACCGGAGGACTTGGTGGTGTAGCGGTATGCACTTTGAACCTCTGCATTTCTCTCAAATTCCAAGGACCTGTCTAGTATGGTTGATTCACTTCAAATTTCGCAGTTCTGGTCTGTTGTGCTGCCACTTGATGTGGCGAAAACCATCATCCAAACTTCACCAGACAACAACTCCACGAGGAATCCATTCAAAGTCTTGAATGCAGTAAGATGCCATGCCCACCTATCCGTTTGGAAAACTTGTGATGCAGTAACAATTAATTTTTTTATCAGCATGACCTACTAAGTGTATCTCTCTCTCTTTAATGCAGATCTACAGGAGCAATGGGGTGAAAGGATGCTACACAGGTTTGGGCCCCACAATTGTGAGAGCATTCCCTGCTAATGCTGCTGCAATAGTCACCTGGGAGCTAGCCATGAAGATGTTGGGGATCAATCGCGACTAAGAAGACAATCTACCACCAAATATTAAACGACTCTGACTTAGACCGAACTAGCATTCGAAGACGATCCCTGATTGTATCAAGTACCAGCATTTGAACATGATCCCTGATTGCATTGAGTAGCAGTTTAAAACCACTGATTCTGGACAAAACTTCTGTACCATTTTTCAGCAGCGGGGTTCTTAGACCCATTGATTAACTACATGCTGCATTCTTTAAGCCTGCAAGTTCTGCTCTTCACCACTTAATTGCCTAAACTAGTGCATTATTTATGGTCTTTGGGCTTCAGTATTTTGCAGGACATAAGGTACAGGAGATAGATATCACTCAGTTCCCATATTCTAACTGCAAGACAGTCGTCTGGGTTTGGAATAAGGCATTGGAATGCCACTAATTACATTGTGAAAACAAGCTTGCATACATTATTAGATACAAATTCCCAATGCAGATTAGGGACTAAGGATTGTAGGTGACTTGACAGAAGAGAGAGAGCAACTTATTACTGGCCAATTTCAGGCAGATAAGGTAGGGCATACTAATGCATAGATGGTGGTGGTGGTGGTGGTGGGAACTGGGGGATTGAGCTCATCAATTGTACCCTTCAGTCGAGCTTTTCCGGCGGCGTTCGTTGTGGCCGGCCAGACGCCTCCTGCAGCTCTTTTTGGTGTCGTCGAACTCCGACAACTCGTGGAACCTGCACCAGATTTACCAGAAGCTTCACTTCATATCTTCAATCATCATGATCCTCAAGTTGCTAGGAATCACAAGTGAGAAAAAATGAACAGTGAAAGACAGGAAAGTAACTGTGGTAACAACAGGGGAAACAGCCAAAATGTCTGGTACTGCTGCTGTTGGGAGTACTCGGCCCAACTTCATGCATATAATTTCTGTAACACACAAACATGTACAATTCGTCCTACGTTGGTACTGTACGATTTTCCTCAGTTCTTGTTGGTTTCATTGTCTTTGAACTAATAATTCACATGGTTTGGAAATAAAGGACAGGGGGTAATTAGTGAAGGATGGCATCTAATTTTCCTTATTGGGCAACACAGTATAGACGTACATTCAAATTCAAACTCTAATGGAAGATATAAACTAAACAAATATCACTGGATTCGAACATAAAATCATTAGATTCAAACATGAAATCTTCTCCCGGTGAATTTAGTACGGTCTATAATTTTTCTTTTTTGCATAATCTTGGCGAAGGAAATCAAGAAGAAGAAAAAAATCCTACTTATTTTAGTTATTTAATGCCATAGATCATATTTTGTCTACTTGAGTTTTTTTTTATAGAAATATTTTGTCTACTTCAGTTAGTGTCAAGTTATCCCGATTCCAGAAAAATCCTCTCTCCCTAACCCAACTTTCTCGAGGGGAAAAATTCAAAATGTCAGAATGTTTTTTTTCTTCTTCTTCATATTGATTATTAATTCCAAACATTTGAAGACAAATTAATGGATATTTCCTCGTCTTTATGATCACTAATCAAATGTTTTGGGGTGTTAAAATGTGTTATAGTAGTTGTTCATTAAGCTAGCTAGTGACACAGCTACATATTAATGTAATACTAGCTAGTAGCTATTGCTTTTTGTGTAGTACATAGTTAATCACTTTTAATCTTCATAATCTATCATTCCTCTCCTTTCTTGAACAACATTTTCTCACATAATGAATAACCCTCCAATGCATAACCACATCCAAAAAATCATAGCCAACAACTCTGGACCAACAAATTTGCGGTCGAGGTTTTGTGTTTGAATCGCTCACGACGACAAAAAAAAATGCAAAGTAAATATGCGTGGTCCAGTACGATGTACCAATATAATCAAATAAAATAAAAAGAGATTTTACTTAACAACAAAAAAAAATGAATGAATGAAATTATTAACCTGCTGCATTGCTGGCAGAAGCGCTGATGGGTTCCAGCAACAAGCACCACGGGAGCCCTAGCGTGGACCTCGCACACCTTATGCCTCCGGTGGTACCTCCTCGCCCCGGCCATGTCGGAGCTGCAGTTCTCCGCCTGGCAGCTCACCGCCGGCGACATTAATGACCCACCTCCTCCTCCGGCGGAAGAGGAAGTTGACGACCCAGACCCAACTTTCTTCCCCTTCTTCATCTTCTTGTCCACGACGGTGACGTCGACCCCGAACTGACCCAGGAGCTGTGCTTCGTCGGCCGCCGCCGCCAGCTCGTCGTCGTCTTCGTCCTCTATCTCTTTCAGGCTCCTCTTCCCGGCGGCCTCCAGTGCCCTCGCCATAAAGGGTGAAAAAGAGGACACAGAGCAAAAGGCCAAAAGGGCTATGGAAGAAACAAAAAAATGAGACGCGTGGGGAGGGAGAGGCTTTGGCTGCTAAATAGTGCATCGAGGAAGGACCACAGACGAAAGGAGCTATAACTATTAGCTAGATGGAGTGAAAAAGAAAAGACAAAGGAGATATGGTGTATTGTTGTTTTTTTTTTTTTACTAATGAAGTGAGTGTACGTAGTTTAATAAGTACATGGGGTTGTAGGCACATTTGTTAAGCACATGGTATTGTTGTCTTCAGATATATATGTGCAAATTTCAAGCACTTATGAGTGACTTTCGTTTGAGGGGGCGTATTGTTAGTGTTGTGGTATTACTGTTGGTATATGATCTACGATTGAACCTCTCCCAACGACTCGAGTTTTTGGGAGCAACTGGTTCTTAACATGGTATCAGAGCCTTCTGTGACTGAGAGGTCTTGTGTTCGATTCCCGGTGACCCCCATTTGTTAAGCACATGGTATTCTTGTCTTCGGACCTATGCAAACTTCAAGCCCTTGTGAGTGGCTTTTTTGTTTGAGGGGGCTTTCTTTTGAGGGGGCGTGTTAGTGTTGTGGTATATGATCCACGATTGAACCTCTCCCAACAACTCGAGTTATTGGGATCAACTGGTTCTTGACACACTTTGTGCCATAGGGTTGTGGTCTCGTACCGGCCGATCTCTCTTCACAACTCTAGTTATTAAAATGAAGTGGTTCTTGATTTAAAGTTGTTGGGGCTAATTAGTTATGTATGTATACGAAGGAGTTTTTTTTTTCTTCTTCTTTTTTTCCTCCCTTCTATTGTTGCCAATGTGATTAGAATCTATGAGCCACGCTCTTCTATCTAAGAAGCATACGACATGATACGATAATACGACCAAATTAATCCACTTTCCAATTTGGACGGTGAATTTACATTAATGTAGGAATCCTTGTTACATCAAGATACCTGATCGAAGCTCGGTGGCCTCAGCTGAAGTCTTAACTGGATTAGTAATTAGTTTATCCTGAAATATGCATGATTTTTTTTACTCCTAACATTAGAATTCAGGACGTGATGCATATTATCATTCCCACATATAAATGCAAAAAAATGGGGTATGAAGTGCTCCATCGCTCTCCACACCTGGAATGCTATTCATCAATATCACTGGCTTTTCCACGGGGCTTCATAGCAGGGAAGAGTCATTTTCACTGGGAGGTGGGGGTCCTGAAGAAGGAAGGACAATTCCTATGCATTTTGGTGAAAGAAAAGAGAGCGACAAAATGCCAAACAACAAAAAAGAAAGCACTAGTATGATGTTTGGCTGTCACCACTATGTTATTACCACTTTGTGAGACGCCAATGATAGGGTTCGAGCCGACCCTCTCTATCCATTTGCATGTCTAGCTCCCTTCGAATCTAGTTCCACACTCTCCCTCCTCCACTTCTCTCTTTCTTCCTTTTCTTCCCCCAAATTACTTTGAACATGTCAAACGTCAAGAAAGTGGTTAAGTATCATATATGTACCCGTTCCATCAACTCAAGTTAATGGGACTGTTTAGTTTATAACATCAAATGCTGTCGCGATCTCAAATGAAAGTATATAAGCTCGTAATAAGCTTAAAATTTGAACATATCTATCATTAGGGTACCGTACGAGCCCATCATCTTTATTCGTTTGCACGTCCGGCTCCGTTGAAGATTTGGTTCCGTCTCTTCCCGGCCTCCATTTATCGCTTTTTATCATTTTTTATCTTATCTCCGATTACTTTGACCAGATCATAAACAGTACTGCGATCTCGTATGAAACTCAACTCGTAAACTCAAAGGTTGTACATATCTAACATAACTTGTACGTAAGTTAAGTCATAATAATACTGGGACTTATTAGGTTTTGAATATGTGAAACCTCTCAATCGAATGCTCCCGTTAAGTGGAAGAATATCGATGTAGTTCGAATGGAATACACCGAGAATTAATCAATCTTATATCATTACCATTCAGTTTCGTTGCCATCAACCCTATTATGATAGGTAGAATCCATATTCCATCAACGAATAGACATTAGGGTTTAGTGTCTAATGGCTGACATGCACAAAACTTTGGTATCATCATCAGTCAATTTCTTTGTCGTCGATTGTGACCTATTATTCTATAGAGATTGCAATTGCACAATTGCAGGCCTTATATTTTTTGACGCGGCCAACCGTTTTGCAGCCAAGTGGGCAACCATCGCTTTTGTGCTGTGGGTTTACCCTTTTGTTGTTCTCTTATCATCATATGAGTATCTGCATATATATGTTAGGATCAATACTGGTTTTTCTCATTTTTTTGTAAAATGCACTAACTATATATGTCAGTTTCTAGGGAATACACATTTCTCTTTTGTGATAAATATCATCTATAAACTCTAATTGACATGTTTGGAAAGTTCTTTTCTTTTTTTTTTATAGAAATCTTGAATACAAATTCATCAATACTGATATTTATGAGCATATATAGTAGCCGAACTCCAAATTGAATAGTCAAATCTAACAATATGTATATAAATATCGACGATATTCCGGGTACTTCTAGTGGAACATCTCTGTCTAGACCATGAATTAAACCGATTTTGGGTAATAATATATTTATCCGTAATAATATTATATCATAACCTCTAATGGATAAATCTAAATGCTCCATTCGCTAAACTTAAGTAGTAAAAATAGCAATAAACAATTATGATTTTCAGGTACAACAAATATACACCCAACGACAAATCGTTTGAGTACAGTATGTTCTAGGAGTAAGCCCGTTGTTACGGTATCTCTTTGGTATTTTGATTATTGATCATAAAAACTTGCAGAGGGGACCCTATTTTCATTTGTCCATCAATTATTTTACGTACCCTAAAGCTTCTATTGGATTTTGCCCTTTGGTTCTTTCATAGTACCCAACTTATAGGGCTCACTCAATGTCTGCTGTACCCTTTTTTCCAACACAGTGAAAAACATAACTCCATCGATCCGTGGATATATAGTTGTGACCAGGCCGTACGTAGCTTCTCATGACACCACATAGTATAGAATCAATGCAATCTCAATAATTCAACCACTTAGACAGAGGTCTTCGAAATTATGAATCTTTGTACGATTTACTTTGTGCGTTCTTTCAAACCAAAAATCAACCTATAAACTTAAAATTTAGTAATTTACGCATACCAATAACAAGCTGCTCAATTATTTGAATTTGATTCGTAAAATTGTTGTAGATTATTTATCCTCGTAGATTAACGCAAGTGGTCAACACCGCACAAGCCACTAAAAAACTGATCCGAGCATAACTATTCTCCAACTAACCTAGGTTTTGATTATCAAAAGAATAGGGGGGGAAAATAGGTTTATTCAGCCCAATTCTACCGGCCTCCATGGGAACAGCCCAAACGGAAATGGGCCACAGCATAATTTGCGCGCGTGACCACCGATACCTCTAATCTAGTGGGCCAAATACTCCTCATAAGCGTTTACAGTAACTGCGGGCCTAGGCAACTGTCCTTCGGCCTCCCTAAGCCCAATGCACAAAAGCCCATTTCTTCGCTTGGGCCCGCTCTCATTGAGCTTGCGGATCCGCGTATAAAACTTGTTACGAGCTGGATTTATACACGAATCAAACAACGGCAAATTAAACATCAACACTGCCACATGGTTGGACAAAGATTCCATATCCTATGGGAGACAAGTCCTTCACAGACTGGATTTATAATCGCAATTAAATTGGATTAGTTGCGAAGTATGACATTCTAGTATCAGATTAAAATTAATTTTGGTAATTATGGAGCACTAAATTACAAGTTAAGTAGTTGGGAAGAATGAATAAAACCCTACAACACACTTCCACCCAAAAATTAATTAATTAATTAAAATACCGGTCATCATCATTTTGTTTGTGTTATTAAATTAATCGGGCTGTGGACGACAACTGCACAACAACGAATGTTAATTACAATGAAAATGAGTTTTTAGATAACGTACGCACAATAATTAATTGATTAATTCTCTGCTCTCCAGGGTATCATTCACGGTGGGTTCTTTCTGGAACGCTATTATGGATTTCTACGAATCTCTTAATAATGCCTCATCAACATGATTAAACTAACGCAATCATTATAGCCTAAAATATATAATTAAATCGAATGTCTTCCATTGGTGCCGCTTAATGCTTTTTGCTCGGTTGGTTTCACAATCTGCCTAGAACTAAATTAATATAAATTTTTTTTTAAGATGCATGATTGCATCTATAATATTAAATATATAGTCCAATTAAGTCAAGATTTTACATTACTCTAACAAAGTTGATAGATCATTTTTCTAAATTGTGCATGTTGATAATCACATTAACTAACAAACCCGGCTACATACTAACTCAAACGCATTACACACTCTACGTAACTCTCGTCTATTTCGTATCTAACATATAAAATATTAGTATATAGCCACGTCTCATCTCATGAAATGAAATGAAATTAGACTACAGTAAGTAAACGTGGAAAATCCAAAAAGAATGGATGAAACTGGTCGTCTGTAGGAGCTAGCTGCAAAGACGAATCTGGATTGATATTTGGTTGGCTGTGCAGTCAATCAAAATTTCCACGCGGGAGTCGCACACCACCAACGTTTGGATCCTTCCATTTGGACGCGTGCAACCTTACTTCATTCCTTCCTTCTCTATCTAACTTCAAAATTTCATTTGGTAGGGCAATCTAAAGGATAAATAACGTACCCTACAAAGGAAATTCTCTCTTCCACACAAACATTCCTATAGGCCCCACGCATATATAGCATTCCTACCAGATAAATTAGTGGTAGTCTATTTTATAATTAAGTTGTAATTTAACTATATTTCACCTATTTTCAGCGGTGGATGCAGAACATGTTTAGAGTACTGGGCCGCATTTAAAAAGCGGTGGAGAGGGTTGGACCGTAACCCCATAAACATTGAAATATATACCCAAAATCGGAAATTTACAAGTACTATACGAGCTTTGGAACCGGGGAGGGCTGGGCGGCCCTCCTAGATCCGACGCTGCCTATTTCATATCAGTAAAATGTTATATCGGCCTGAAATT